GGTTACTGCTTTTACTCTGCTATCTTGGCTCCGCCCTCAAAAGCACTTCTTAATATCATAAATCCAGGTTATAGAAAATATATCACAGATCCATTTATGTATTTCAAGCTATTAATGCTCTACTTTGCCCAAAATGATATCATTATAACATTATTCCATATACTGGTCACTGGCATAGAGTTGGTAATTGAAGCAATGGAATCTGATGACAGATCATCCATTTATAGACTATAAAGAGAAAAGAAAAGGACCCAGGATGAATGCTGAGATATAATGACAGGGCATGATGGGCAAGAGAGGAACCTAGGAAGAGATGGTTAAACGAAAAGGAAAAGAACTGGGAAAAAGTAGTGCCTTGAAAAGAGAAGAGATAGTATCTAGATGACAAACTGTGTCAGGTGCTGTAGAGAGGTCAAGAAGGATGAGGATTTAGACAAGCCCTTTAGATCCAGAAATTAGATCATTGGCAGCTTTGGAGAGAGTGCTTTTAGTTGAAAAATGAGTTTGGAAACCAGGGTGCAGAAGGTTTAGGGGAGGGTGAGTAGTTGTTATTTGTCCTTCATTCTGGAAGAGGACCATGACATCAGGGAGGTGATGCCGTGATTTGCAAGTGATTTGTATTTAAATAAGGGAAAGCTATGCAAAGTCACCAGCCTCACTTTTTCCTCCAGAGCCATCTGGGTCCAGTGGTGGGAGGAAGTGGAGACCAGAAGATGACTAATTCATGGAGTTCAGTTGAGAAAGAGAGGAAAGATATATGCTGATAGCAGAGGTGTGGAATCTAGTGAGGGTTTTTAAAGGATGAAGGGGATGTGGGTGTGTTTGTAAGCAGCAGGAAAGGAACCAGGAGAGAAGGAGAGAATGAAGATTAGAAGGAGAGGGCATGTTAGCAGGTGCACTCTTCTGGATAAGATGGGAAGGAATGGGATAGAACTGTGTAACTAATAATAGATAAATCGATAGATAGTAGACAGTTAAATAGAGATATAGATGATATAGATAAATATTCTATGTAGGGAAAGGACAATAATATACAGAAATATTTAGAGTAGGAAAGTATCTTATACATTAGATTTTAAACATATACCATGTTTCATATATCACATAAGATTTACTACATATATGTTTATGTACGTATATATACAATACATACATATATACGTACATATATATTTATGTATGTATATATACATGTATGTATGTATGTATGTATGTATGTGAGTGTGTTCAGTTGTCTTTAGTTGAGGTTTTCTTGGCAAAGATACTGGAATGGTTTGCCATTTCCTTCTCCAGCTTATTTTATTGATGAGGAAACTGAGGCAAAAAGGGTTAAATGACTTGCCCAAGGTCACACAGCTTATAAATGTCTGAGGCTGGATTTGAAATCAGGTTTTGCTGCTTCAGGCCCAGCAGTCTATCCACTGTATCACCTAGCTGATATATGTATGTATGTATGAATGTATGTATATATGTATGTATGTGTATGTATCTGTGTGTACATATATATATATATACATATATATATATATATATACACGCAGATATGTAATAACTCAGTTTCAATTGTATGTGTATGTATACATATATATGGTCTATAAACATTTTTCTATAGACAGATATGATTGTCATTTTCCCACCTGGGTATTTGTGTATAGCTATGTAATATTAACCTTACGCAACTTAACGGATATTATCCAGGAAACATGATCAGAAAAGAAGGTAGGCCAATCATGAGGGATAACACATGCTCTTCTAGCACATACAATGTTTAATAAGACTTAGAAAAAGTCCTCCAGCACAATGGGTGGATCTTCTGTTAATGATTTACAGGAGAACGTAAGTAAATGTTCCATAGGAAGCACACCATGGTGGCAGATGAATGTAATTCCAGTTACCAGGGAACCTGAGATGGGTGGATCTCTTGAACTCAGAAGTCTTGAGCTTCTATGGAGTCTGCCAATCAAGTGTCCACACAAAATTTGGCATCACTATGGTAAGCAGGGTGACACTAGGTCACCTAATATGGAAAGAACTGGCTCAAGTCAGAAATTGAGCAGGTCAAAGCTAGTGTGCCAGTCAAAATGAGACCTAGGCTATGAGCGGCCACTGATCTTCCATCCTGGATGAGATAAGGAGGACCAGTCTCTAAAAATAAATGAACAAACAACGAATGAACAACTATCCCTGTCCTCATATGGGGCAGGAAGGTGGCACAGTGGATAGAGTGTTGGGCCTAGAGTCAGGAAAACTTGAATTCAAATCCGGCATTAGATACTTACTAGCTGTGTGACCCTGGACAAGTCATTTAACCTCTGTTTGCCTCAGTTTCTTCATCTGTAAAATGAGCTGGAGAAGGAAATGACAAACCACTCCAATATCTTTGCCAAGAAAACCCCAATGGGGTCACAAATAATTCAACAATACTTCCTTAGCTAACTATATGACTTGCTCATGCCCACAGGAGTCTTCTCCCCTAACACCTAGTGAACCTCAAGATTAACCTTGTTATGAAAGCAGAGAAATTGGACAGGCCATTCATTCACAGGGCTAAACCATCCACCTAGGCTTTCCCAGTGCCTTTTTCCTGACCAATACACAATACCCAGCCCTTAAATCTGGCCCAATGACTCTTACAAACTCCATAATTCTTGATATTTAACCAACCTGATCTGTCTGATAATTCATCTTGCTCTACTTTTTGGATTTTCCCTGAAGAGAATCTTGTAGACCGCCCTGGTAACCTGATGATGTGCTCAGGACAGACTTCGACATTAAAATGGTGTTACACTCTTTCCATTTGATTCACTGAACAATACACAATAACAATCTTGAAGGGTAAAATAGGTTAACGACTGATGCATGGTCTGCCTGGCCCTGCTTTACATCATTTCCCTTAAAAGGGAGCAGTCCTTGGAGCATTTCTAACTGCCTGAATTCTTTATTCAGGTACAAAATGCCTCAATACTTTTAATTTTCTTATCAAGATAATTCTACTCCCTTTTTTATCCATTTTCTTTAGTGTTTGACTTTACTGGTCTCTTTCCATATTTATATATGTATATATATATATATATATATATATATATATGTATATATATATATATATATATATATATATATATACATATGTGTGTGTATGTGTATATACATATATACGTATATACATATATATACACATATATACATATATATGTATGTATACACGTATATATGTATATACACACATATGCAATATGTTAAAGCACTAGATTGTGAGCTCCTCGAGGGCAGGGACTTTTTTCTTATTGATATTTATATCACCTATCCTTCTCCCCACAAACATATATGAACTCATAGGCATCTAGAATGGAGATCTAATCAATGATTTTTTAAATTTTGTTTTGTTTATTTTTTTTTCCTTGACCTCTGAATTCTTTTCACTCTTGTGAGGAAATTCCACCTGCCAGTACACATTAGCTACTATTCTTCAATGTGTAACCTTTAGAACTGCCTATGTTTTAGGTATATCGGACTACAGGTCGGCCCTGATGAGTGTGAATACTGAATCCCACTCTGAAGTGGTCACATTATTAGAACTCACGCTACATATTTCCACTGGGCTGGAACTAATTACTGTATTTTACATAATTATAACTTTGAATAGCAAAAATTTGAATACGTGTAACCACTTCAGGGGATTCATTATTCACACTATCAGGATGTAGTTGTACTACTAACTTCCTTAATGTCCTCCTGTCCTCTTCCACCCCTGCCCCTTCGGCCATGGGAATACTCTCCCTTCTCATCTCAGCCTCTAAAAATCCTTCTTGCCCTTCAAGGACCTGCTTATGCATGTCACTTTTTCATGAAGCCTTTGTTGATTTCTTATCCCTAAACTCTAGATGAAAGTGATCTCTCTTTTTCCAAATTTTCCTCTCCTCCCATCCTTAACATATTTAACCACATATTATACTCACTTTTATACATGCCTTATCCCAAATAGCACACTATAACCTTCTCAGAGTCAGGCCTGCATCATTTTTCATCTTTCTGTCTTACCTCAGGAAGAGGTCACATGGTATAGGGGATAGAGAGTTGGCCTTGGGCCAACAAAGACTTGAAGTCCCACTTCTGATCCTGGCTATGTGACCATAGGCAAATAGCTTAACCTCTAAACAGTCTAGGTGACTCTCTGAGACTAAGTGTAGAGAAGGAACCAAGCCAAACTATCTTGGTAGAGGATGTCTCTTCATCTAAAATTTCCTTCTACCAATGAAATCACAGATTCATTTCCTGTCTCCCCTAGTACAATGACTGCTACATACTAGGGGTTTAATAAATATTTGATGAATGAATGAATGAATGAGTAAATGATGAGGCCCTGGAGTAGTAATGGAGAATGGGTATGCATGCTTTGCTAAGGTTTACAGATACAAATACATGTATTTTACAAAAATGTCCAAATAGTCTTTCAATGAGATACTGAATGAATATCTTAGCAATTTAATCAGCATTGGAGTAAATGTGAAGGCTTATTACATTGATCCTATATCCAAATATGATCTCTAACAGAGGTAGTTAAAAAATGTTTTTCTTCACTGATTCAGAGAATAATTTCCCAAAAACAGTGTAATGAGAAAAGGGGCAGAGGCAAGAAGATCATGAGGGCTGTGAGCAAGAAAAAAAAACTGGAGAAAAATACCTTGAGCATTACACACTGTGCATCTGTGTAGCATGGCTCAATTATATTCAGGAAAACATGTGTGGCTCATAGAATCATTAACAAGAAAGAATACCTCACTCTTCAGTGCTGTTCTTTTCTCAAATGCTAACCATAAACAACTTGGAAGAGCCTCTGTGTGTCTTCCAGCTATCATTATCACAAATGATGATGCTTAAAAAAATGTAATATCTCTGTGGATGTGAATTTCCAATAATTCTCTTGGAAAGCACAGAAGAGACAGCTCAGTATCACTCTCAGTATCAGGTTATGAAAGCTCTCAGTACTGCTCATGACTAACCTTTACAGAGGTTGTTTATGGACTGGTTTCTGGCTCAGTGAAAGGTTACAGCTGATAGAAAACCATCAGGATGCTCCATTGGAGTCTGTTATCCTCACAGCTATACAGTTCACACCCCAGCATTAGCTACAACCTCCATGGCTTGCCAATGTGGCTTTCTGGAGAGGTCTTGCTGGTTCAGTATCTCATTAGAACCAAGAGCAAAGAGAAGTTGGAAGGGGGCGGGGGAGGGAACCCTCACATATAGATGTTTTGGCTTGACTACAGGAGACTAGCTCAAATAAAATGTCACTTCAGCTTGCAGAAATTGCTGTAAACAAATACTGCTTCCTCCTGCCTGGTGTAAAACATCCCCAGATAAGACTAAAACCATCAAATGTAGCTTTCATACATGCTTTTGTCTCCTTCATCTTGAAGCTCAGAACTCAATCCAATTATCCCCCAAATGTAGGCTCTGTTACTGATTTGTATACACTTGGGTTTTAAGATTTATTTATTTATTTGTTTGTTTGTTCATTTGTTTGTTGGCAAGGGGCATGACAAGTTGAGAATTTTAGCTTGAGAGCTGAAATCATTTCAAAATAAATACGTGTAATAAAATTCACAGGGATGGCATGTCCCTCCCCAGCAAAGAAAAACAAAACAAAACAGAAACTCGCTTTTCATTAGGTATGTAGATTCTTCATAAGGTTCTTTCAGTTAAATCCAACAGGCATTTATGGATCATCCATTATGGGGAAGATACTCTTTTAGCTGGTAGGCAGTTAGATTGGACAACGGCTAGGATGTGGGACTTGGAATCAGCTGGACCTGAGTTTGTATCCAGCCTGGGATGCTTCCTTATCTGCATGACTTTAGGCTAGTCATAACCTCTCAGCCTCAATGTCTTTATCCGTAATATATGTATAACAATAGCATCTACTTTCCTGGGTTGTGAGGATCAGAAGAGATAACATATTAAGTAAGGGCTTTTCAATCTTAAAGTGCTTTATCAATCCTATGATTATTACAACAATAGAAAAAATTCTCCTTGCCCCCTTTTTTCATTCTCCCTTATCATTCATTTTTGAATTGGCAACTTTGCTGCTTTAAAATTTATATCTTAAATGAAAAGCTTTAAAGTGGGAAAGAGAGAGAAAAGTGAGGACAAGAGAGGAAAAAGGAGAGAGAGAGAGAGAGAGAGAGAGAGAGAGAGAGAGAGAAGAGAGAGAGAGAGAGAGAGAGAGAGAGATCCTTGTAATTCTGGCATGCTGGAAAGAGCACTAGATTTGATGCCAAAAGATTTGAATTCAAATTCACCCACCAACTATCTATGAGAGAAGCAGGTCATTTTACCTTTTTGGGCCTCAGAATCCTCATGTACAAACTTAGGGAGTTGGATTAAGTGGCCCCATGCAACTTCTGATCAACGATTTTATGGTCATGTTCTTGTTGTTCAATCATTTCAGTCATATCCAACTCTTTGTGACCCCATTTGGGGTTTTCTTGGCAAAGATGGTAGAATGGTTTGCCATTTCCTTCTCCAGCTCATTTTACAGATGAGGAAACTGAGGCAAATAGGGTTAGGTGACTTTCCCAGGATCTTTAAAATGAAGGGGTTGAACTCAGGTAGCTCAAAGGCCACTTCCAGCTCCAAACCTATGATCTTTATGATTCTTGTAATTGCCTTCCACCTCTTACTGCTGAGTACAAAAATATCTTACACTATTTAACTAAAATACTTGATTTCCCCCCCATAATTCACATTGATTTTTGCATAAAATACCTATTCTAAGCCCAGAACTACATAATCAAACAAAACCATCAATTTCTGATGCTAAACAAAATTATCCCTTTGGGGGAATTTATTTACACCTTCTCTGAAAATAAAAGGGGAAATAATTGTCTTACTTCCTGAAACATTATGGCTTTGCATTAGATAAAATAGACACCTCTATCTGGAGTCAATTTCCACGTCAGGTAAATCAAATAGTCACAACTCCCTACGAAAGAACTAAATCTCATATGTAAGTCAGGATTTTTCCAGACATATCCGGAGGCTTTTTAAACCTTCCAAATACTCCTGGGAGAGGGTGGTCATGAAGAAGGCATTTTCCTAGTGAGTGGGCTTCTGGTATTCACCAGATGTTCCCCACTATCCTTATCCTAAACCTCTTCCATTTCCTGTTCCATACCTCCTGAAAAAAAAAAGCATACAACACTGCATGAATTTTTCTTTTAAAACATTCACCTCCTTACAAGGTGTAATAGTAAAAGTCTATTATTTCAGCACCTAAGAGCATCTCTTCATGATCACCTCCTCAAACTGCTTTATCTTATAGATGAGGAAAGCAAGGTCCAGGGATTTTATGTGACTTGCTGAAGATCACCCATGTAATAAATGGCAGACTTACATTTGAACTCAGGTTCTCTGACTCCTAAAATCAAGTCTTTCCATAGTAATGCACAGTACAGCATGGCACTACTTGTTGGCTTAGAGCTTGAAATCCTTTAGTAGAGAATCCCCTAAATCCAAGTACCATGGCTAGATTCCCTCTAGTCTACCAGAATTCAGTTCAACAAACATCAAATGTCTACTGTCAATAAGACAAAAGGTGATTTAAGGATGGAGTCAGCTTTTGAAACAAGAAGAAATGGTTTCAAATCCTAGCTCTGACACACACTAGCTGGATGAACATGAAAAATTCATTTAACTTCTTAGCACCCAAACAATTCTCTAAACTGTCAAATGACAAGGGAGTTGCTAATCTATATGATATAGGGGGTTTCAATGCCCAGAGCTCCCTAAACGGGTCTGAACTAAGTAGCTAGGTGATACAGTGAGCAGAGCACTAGCCCTGGAGTCACAAAGACCTGAGCTCAAATCTGAATTCAGATATTTACTAGCTATGTGACCCTGGGTAAGTCACTTAATCCTGTTTGCCTTAGTTCCTCATCTGTAAAATGACCTGGAGAAGGAAATGGAGAACCACTCCAGTATCTTTGCCAAGAAACCCCAAATGGGGTCACGGAGAGTCAAACATGACTGAAATGATCAAACAACAGCAAAAATGAATAATAAATAATGTGCAAGACAAAGAGAACATTTAGGCATCAGAATGGCCTAGGCTCAGATCCTACTTTTAATATACTCCTAGCTAAGAGTAGAGAACCTGTGGCCTCTAGGCCCTCTGGGTCCTCAAGTGTGGTCCTTTTGACTGAATCCAGTTCCAGTCAGAGGGCCAAACTTGAGGACCTAGAGGGCCACATGTGCCCTTGAGGCCACAGGTTCCCCACCCCCTGTCCTAGGTAAATGACTTAATTTCAGCGCCCCCAGGTTACCTTCTAAGGCTCTATGTTGAAGGACAGTAGTGAGGTTACATTGGTAGAGGGTGTTTCTGCACCTGGGTTTACCTACGTCAATGAATTCATAAACCTGGACCAAACACACACACACACACACACACACACCACACACACACACACACCACACACGCACACAAATGGATAAGGTAGAAGAAACTGTTATATATCTTTAGCCTTCTCTATTGCTCAGCTCATTTCTATACAAAATAAAGGGATCCTTTCTAGTTCTGAAACCCTAGCATTCTATCTAATGTCTTGATGCCTTTCAATATCTAGGTTAGCCCCCCCATTCCTTTTCATTAGTGAATTCGTCTGATGTCCTCAAACCCTGATGTTCAAATGGATCTTGGGTCATAGGTCCTAGATAGTAAGATTTAGAGTTAGAAGGGACTTCAGAGATCATCTTTACATGTGAGAAAACTGGAGCCCAAAGGCAACCAAGGGCATAGAGCTCATTGGTACATTCCATCACTGTCCTACTAAGCTAACATTCCCTGAGTCTCTGAGATATTTCCACTCATTCCTATGAAGGCATTCAGACAACATGAGGTGGCTGTGCTATTACCGAAGATGGGCACTCATGCTATTGCCAAGTTCCAAGGGGGGCAAAGCGGCACCGGCGTCTGTCTCAATGGTATCATATCATGCCAGCGGCTGGATTTCCGTCTGTGAACTTGAAAATGAGAGGCAGGTTTAAAGATGAACAATTTCCTTGAATAAAGGAAATGGGAAAAATATAATTAATCATTTGCCTGTCCCCCAACACTAGTTTACAAAACCATGGTGCAACTTTATTGAGCTCAAAATTGAAGGGTGACAAGGTTAATATGTAGCTTTAGACCTCACGGTTTCATTAACAAACACATTACAGGCTGTAAAGCTGAGCTGACAGTAATGCTAGGCCCAAACAAAGTAAATAATTACTGGCTTGGCAAATGAGGAAGTACTCACAGAGTTTGTTTACATTGGGTTTTTGGAAAATTCACGTTGGCAACAAGTCAAATCCAGTTCGACTAGCAATTGTGACAATCACTCACAGATGCTGCTGGAAGAACAACAAAAGAATGGATTTATGTCTTTTTTTTCTCCCCCTGCATTTTCCCCCCTTTGTTGTCTTTTTTTTTTCCTTTACCATTTTGGATCAATAAAGAACTTGCAGCTACAAAGATAAGTGGGTTACATGGCAGATGGGCCTTGGAATGTTTAAAAATCTCATGTTGCATTTTGTCTCTTGGCCCTCAATTGGAAAAGACACAGCTGTGTTCAAGCTGCAGTCATAAAACTCTTGCTCCTTGAAAAATGCCTATGGGTCCCCTTGGTAGAACCCAGTCAAGGGGAAGTCTGTATGAAATTTTCCATAGGAAAAAGGCCCCAACATTTTTTTTTGTGCCGGTGCACTGTGAATAAACCTTTGAATTCTGAGACCTGAGGAGAAGATTCTGTACTAGGGAGAATCTGTTACATTTTTCCCTGGCTGGCCTGGAAAACTTTAAACAGGAATCAAGTAATAAGACAACTCAGCAAAATGGAAAAGACTTCTGCAGAGCAACTGAGGTCCATGAAATACAATTCAAAACAATTTCAGCAACCCTCTGGTTGGTATTTCACCAACCATAAAGCTGGAACTTGACCACACAGAGTACAAGGTCTCCTAAGCCCTCAAATTTGAATTTCTATATCCTTGGGAGATTGGATTTCAGGAGCTTTATGGGTATATGCAAAGCCAGGATTATCCTAATTCCATGTCTACTGACTTCTAATGGAAAGAGTGTGAACAGTCTAGGGTTTTCATGTTGTTTAACTAGATTGTTTAATGCTATAATCGTAGGCCACTGGTGTTATTACTATTTATGGGCCAATCCCAAATCTACAGGCTTTGAAAAATCAAAGCCATATTCAGTGTCTGTACCAACAAATTCCGTCTCCTTAATCATGCTATTTTTAAGGTCCTTTGGCACGATCATTGCATAAAACCAAAGATAAATAGATCATAATTTTCTAAATAAATATGGTATAGAATGGATATATGCCAAATGTAATAGACTTTCCTTCTATAATTGCTTAAATTCAGAGCTAAATTTTTTATTTATGAGATCAAATTCACACCATCAATCAATCAATCAAGTATTTATTAAGTGCCTACTATGTTCCTGGCACTGTGCTAGGAATATAAATACAATGAATGAATCAATCCCTACTCTCGAGGGGCTTACATTCTAATCTCTGTCCAAGCAGAGATTACTTTTCTCACTGCCAAACTTGAAACCTTTTACTGTTTCTTGAAAGAGAGACCCTTCTTATGAAGTTTAAATAATTTTAGTTGATAAATTCATTTGTAATACTTTTCTTTCTGAGCAAAAGGTTCTTTAATCCTCTCTCCTCCTTTTACTCAGACTTCTCCAACTTCAGGATAGGACAGGAATCATTTCCAGATCATATGTCCAGTCTTAATGTCTCTTTATCTGTAGTTTCGCATCTCCCACTTGTCTATGAGACATTTTGAACTGTAAGTCACATAGATTCTCAAACTTAACATGTTCGAAACCAAATTCATGGAGCAGCTAGGTGGTGTAGTAGATAGAACACCAGGCCTGGAGTCAGGAGGACCTGAATTCAAATCCAGCCTTAGGCCAAAAGCTTGACACTTACTAGCTGTGTGACCCTGGGTAAGTCACTTAACTCCAATTGCCTCACCAAAAAATAAAAAAAAGCAAAGCAAAATTTGTTGTGCACAACTAGTTCACTTGGCTACAGAGCCTACCTAGGGCCTAGGATTTCCCAATCACCTGATGAATCAAGACCAGCTTGATTTTCTATCTTGAATGTGCATTGATGAGGCGGGAGACAAGATGGAAGCAACTAACTCCATTTATTTTTAGCAAAGCACTTACTTATATAGTAAAATAACAGGAACGCTTTCTCAAGTTACAATGATGTATAGCCCATGCTGTGCTCAAGGACAGTGCATGCACGTCCTGTGCACTTATCTGACTCCAATCCCAGAACAGACTGCTAATGACCATATAATAACTAGGGGAGTTAAAGATTGTTACAAATCCATACAATGGAGCACCGAACCAGGCCAACGACCTTTGCTCAAAGATCAGCACCCGAGAGGGGCCTTCACCCATCAGTGAGACCTCTTGAACAGCCTGTGGCCCTCCACATCCTTATAGATCCCTAACAAAAATTCATTATCTTTTCCCCAGAACCTACTTCTAAATTTCTCTGTCTCTGTTGAGGAAGCCAGTATCCATACAATCGCCTAAGCTTGCAATCTGAGTAATCCCTGCTTCCTCAGTCTCTCTTACCACACATATCTAATCAGTTACCGCATCTTGTCTCCTCTTCCACCATAACTTCTCTCATCTATATCTCTTTACACTCTCACAGTAACTACTTTATTTCTGGACCTCATTACCTCCCATTTGATCTACTGTAATTGACCTCTAAGTGGTTACCCAGCCTTCAGTCTTTTTCTTCTCCTATCAATCCTCCACAGAGTTGGCAAAATATTTCTAAAGAATAGATCTGACCATAAAACCTTCCTTCTCAATAAACCTCAGTAGTTCCTTATTACCTATAGAATCAAATACAGATTCCTGTGGCATTTAAGACCCTTTACTCCCTAAGCTCCAGTCTATCTTTCTGCCTTATTTTACATTATTCCCCTTTATGTACTCTGTGGCCCAGCTAAACTGTTTTCTTGTCCTTCATCTCCATGTCTGTACAGGCTATGCCCCATGCTTGGAATACATGCCTTCCTCATCTCTACTTCTTAGTATCAAAAGTTTCTTTCAAATACCATTCAAATATTCCTACATGACGTCTTTCCTGACCCTCTTTCCTAGTTGCTGAGAACCCCCACACACCAATAATAATTTATGTTAATTTTGTTTTATATGTGTGTATGTATTTCATAGGTACTTTCTTGTGTACATATTATATTTCCCTATAGATTGTGAACTCTGTGAAAGTAGGAACTATTTTAGTTTTGCCTTTTGTATCTCCAGAGCCTAACATGGATTCCTGGTGCACAATGGACAATAAATGCTTGGCAATTGATTGTTGACTCTGACAAGTATCACTATTGGCATTCACTGCTATAAGGTGTAGTCTCATAGCAGTCACCCTCCGCTGCCATCTACCACACTACTAGGCCTCGCTACCAGATCCCATCTTTGGATGCACTTTTAGTTTATGTGTAGGGCAGATATTTGAACTCAGTCTTCAAGTGTTGAACTATTGAAAAGAAAACAACATCTTCATTGATACCTTGAGATGTTATTTTATACCTCCCAGATTGGCTAAAATGATAAAAGGAGAAAGTGACAAATGTTGGAGAGGATGTGGAAAAATTGGGACACATTTGTTATTTGTGGAATTGTGAACTGATCTAACCATTTTGGAGAGCAATCTGAAATCATACCCAAAGAGTTATTAAATTGCCTATACCCTTTGACCTAGCAATACCACTATTAGGTCTATTTCCAAAGATGATTAGGGGAAAAGGAAAAGAACTTATATTTTCTAAAATGTTTAGAGCAACTCTCTGTGGTGGCAAAGAACTGGAAATTGCAGAGATGCCTAGTAATTGGGGAATGACTGAACAAGTTGTATTACATGGTCATGACAGAATAACACTGTGTTATAAGAAATGATGAGCTCGATGGTCTTAGAAAAACATGGGAAGACTTGCATGAAATGATGAAGAGCAGAACCAAGAGAACATTGTATGCAGTAACAGCAATGTTGTTTGAAGAACAACTTTGAGCAAATAAGTTATTTTGTCTATTATAAATATCCAAATTAGCTATAAAGGACATATGAAGAAAGATGCTATCCGCATCCAGAGAAAGAATTGATCAATAGAAGTATGTATAGAATAATTTTTACATATGTATACCTATTTGTGTCTAATGATAGCTATCTCTAGTGTGGGGGGGGAGAAAAAAGGGAAAAAAGAATTTTCATGATAATTTTGTATATTTTAAAGGAATAGCAAGTTGTGCATAGTAGATTTGCAGTTTCATGTATAATCATCTTTTTTTATTGTACTTTGTTATGGAAATGCTTGTTTTATACCCTAAGTTAAAAATAAAATAAAATTTAATAAAGAAACCAAAATTAGTATATTCTTCTTGAGGTAGAGGTAGCTCAAGGTAATAGAGTGCGAGACTCACAATCAGGAAGAGGGAGTCCAAATCATCTGGCATGCTCCATGAAGCTGGAGAGCTTTCAAGTCACGGCCCAGTGATGAATTACATATCTCATTTATTTTTTTCTCTTTAACCTTTCATCTTTTAATGATCTAGCTCTGTCTACTCTTTTACCAGACCTTAAATTACATATATCACATATATAATTATATATAAATTTATATAATTTATAAACAATTACATAATACATTTGTATTAATATTAAATAATTTATAATTTTATTACAAATGTAATTATCCACAAATGCAAATATTCACCCATAGAAAGGAGAATAAATGTATTTTCCAAGATAATCCTTTGCCATAGTATCAGATTGGTCATAGAGTATGGAATTTTTCAGTCACAATGACTTGAAGATCATTTATTAAGTTGTAGTGGGGCTGTGATCTTTAGTGCCAGAAAGATATGTGCTGGGCACTATGCTAAGAACATTACAAATATTATCTCATTTGATCCTCACAACAGCCCTAGTAAGTAGGTACTATTATTATACTCATTTTATAGTTGAAGAAACTGAGGCAAACAGAGATGAAGTGTTTTGCATAGAGTCACATAGTAAGTATCCAAGGCTAGATTTGAACTCAGGTCTTCCTGATTCTTTGCCCAGAATTCTGTCTACTGCACCAATCAATCAATCAATCAACATTTATTAAGTACCTACTATTGCCTAACACTATGCTAAGCACTGGGGATACAAAAAGAGCCAAAAGATAGACAAGAACTTATAACCCGATGGAGGAGACAACATGCAAACATATATATATATAGTATAAATAGGAAATAATTAACAGAGGGAAGGCATTGAAATTAAGAGGGGTTGGGGAAG